GGTTTCTGACCAAGATGAAGCAGCATCATGGCATGCCTTGTGACCCCTCGTGGTATGTTCTTGAAGTAACAAGAAAAGAGAACCAAGTCATGATCTCACATTTATCTGAGACAATAGAAAGAGAGGATCATATTGGGAGTGACCGTAGACAGATGATTGGGAAATTACAGTCTAAGGACGGAACAAGATACAAGACCTACTAGCCATCAAGCCAGATATATCCGTCCAACCACCTCATACCAGCAACACACCGTACGTTGAAGACCATTTGAGAATATCTTTTACAGTTGTCATCTCACAGACTGTGGAAATGGTAAAGTGGCTTACGCTTACCTTGTGCTATTGACGCAACAGCAAGTCTCTACTGAATGATGGGATTTTGTGTTAATTGTTTTCCCTTTTAATATTTTTACTAATGAATAGGCTATATATGATTTTTTTTACATAGTTTTAACTCAAATGTTTTATTTGTTTGTGTTAATAAAATGGCTAACTGTTATTAAAGTCTGTGCCCTCCAACTAAAGGTCCCATTTGCTTGAGAAACAGCAAAAATTGCATATGGCATTTAAAATTTATACAGAAAATACTGACCACAGTTGAGTTTTATTTCGTTAACATTGTCAGCTAAAACACTTACAAACACATTTAAGCTGTCTGTACAAAGGGCTTGACATGCTGCTGACCAGAGATAATATATCTCGGTTTATCTTTGATTATAATTGCTTTGAACCACAATTAATCATTTGGTTTCTTCAACTTTCACTCAAGAGAAAAAATGAGCCTTTTAACTTGAAAGAAATTCTACATTTATCATGATTATTATTGATATCAAACAATGTGTTTTATCGTGATAACATTTTTAGCCATACCAACCAGTCCTCTCTCTCTCTCTCTCACACACACACACACACACACACACACACACACACACACACTGCCTAAATCCTCCCAAAAAGCCTAAAAGCAAGCATACTGAATAACTTCCCACCAATGGCTATAACCATCCTTTGTAAGACCATGGAAAGCGTTCTAGCCAGTCATCTAACTTGGTCTGTAAACAGGTACTTAGACCTACTTCAGTTTGCTTAGAAAAGTTGCAGAGGCACTACAGACCATGTTTAACGCCATCACTAAACATCTTAAGGATATGCCAGAGTGTTATTTGTGGATTTTTGTTCAGCTTTTAAGTCTTTGAAGACACAAGTCTGATACGGTAAAGCTCAACAACAGCTTTTAAATCTTTTAAAAATGTTTTGCCAGAATGAAGCCTACATTTCCCATGAGCTCTAGCGCGTATTGTCGTAAAGACGCTTACCTGGCACGCGCATGTGTTTGCTTTGGGGATGAATGAAACAACAAGACAGGAAAACTTTGCCCCCGCTCCTATCAGGGATCCCAGCTCACCTCTGCTGCGCCCCAGCTCCACCTCTCCGGCGTAAGCACCACTGCCGTGGGGGTAAACACAGCGGTCGGCTGGTAAGGCTGAAGGCCTGTTTGGTGAGCACTTCCACGGCTTCTTGGACTGAGTATGGAGCGGTGCCTCGCCTCTTTATTTCTCGGCACTTGCTGGACCCTGTCGACGCCTGGCTGGTACCTGTCGTCAGCCCGGATGAGGTGTCCCAGCCCCGTGGCCCCTGCTCTCCTCGTCCCCGCTGGCGCGGGGTGAATCTGCGCAACCTGCGGCCTCTGTGTGGGGCTCCCCAGACAGCTAACCATGGACCCGCCGGCTCCTGCCAGGATTGGGCTGGTAAATGCTAGATTGCTAGCGAACAAAATGTTTATCCTGAAGGATTTCCTGACTTCCCGATGATTGGATTTTCTCTGTGTGACTGAGATGTGGCTGACTGTTGGTGAGTCCAGTGCTTTCACAGAACTTTTACCCGATGATTGCTGCTATTTTAACTCCCCGCGGACGTCGGATCGAGGAGGAGGAATAGTGACTATTTATTAGAGTCACTATAAATGTAAGCAGCTAGGTAAGATGACGTGTGCCGTAAATCATTTCGTCCTGGAAGCGACCTGGGGCGGACCCGGAGCCAGTTTCCTAAAAGTATGGATATACACTATATAGAAATAGCTTATCTTCACACCGATGGTCTCATTTGCTGTTGTAGGTCACACACAGACATCAGCAGAAACGAGAGACTTTTGCATATGCAGTTAAAAGTTCCTTGTAGCGGCTTTAATATAAAATGTGGCCAGCACACAATATTGATTAATCAAGCACGATCACTTTGATTTTTTTCGTTCACTTCATGAAGGCAGGACTATCATACAGTTTGTCGACAGGCACCAACTACACAGGCAGTACTAATGCTCCTTCATAAACAGAGAGTAAACAGCAGATATTTCCTGCAGGAAGCAGACACGACCACAACAAAAGCAGGGACATCTGAACACACTTCTCAACATGGAGGTGGCTAAGCTGCCAGCTAGCAGCTAATAGTGCTAACGCCATAAAAATTGCTAAGCAAAGGCAACAGTGCTGACAGAGCTAAAGGTGTTAACCAGAAGAGAAACTGGAGGTTGGGCACTACACTTCCGTGACAAAAACGCTGTCCTAATATCTGCGGTAACTGCCATATGACAGCAGTGCAAAGTGGCAGTGAGCTAGCTCGTGGGATACACATACGCACTAACATACATAAGCAGCTACACCGGTTTACCATAACAAACCACAGAGAAGCTCGGATTTCAACACACACAGAGGTAGTGTGATGTCATTCTCTGCTCAGCTCATGATTGTTCTTGATTGTCAGGTCTTTCAAATGTATATTTTTAGCGCTTTGAGCAGAGTGCCATTCTTGCCATGTCTCCAGCTGATATCGCCAACACTCGGCAACTCACACCAAAACAATCTAGACTGGGCATGTCCAAAATCCGCCCTGGCAGGCCAACTGTGGCTCATGGACTGATTTTAAATGGCACTTGGCTTGTCTTTCAAACTATACTATATGTTGCCCACCACACAATATTGATTAATCAAGCAAGATTACTTTGCATTTTTTGCGTTACTGTCACAACGGCAGAACTATCATATAGTTTGTAGACATGCACCAAGTAGGAACTATGCAGGTGGAACTAATTTGTTTTCATAAACAGACAGCAAAGAAGCAAACAAACAGTTACCTAACAGCAGACACTTCCTGCTACGTAGCAGACATGGCCATAGCAAATAAGTGTAAAGTCAACAGCAAGGGCTGCCGCTCTCAGGAGCCGTGGAAAATTACATACTTTTTCACTGAAAGATGAAGATGGACAGTTGAGTTTGTCTCATTTGTAGGTGATGTTTTTTTTTAAATAACCCATGTGATGAAAGAAGCAGCTGCCCCCAGGTATTTCCACATTATCTAATCTGGCCCCCATTCAAAAAAAGTTTGGACACCCCTGATGTGCACTGATAAATAACACTACAGGCAGGAGGAAAAATATGTATGTTCTGTTTTGGGGTGATCTGTCAGTTTAAGCTCATGATCGTATTTATCCATGTAATTTGTTTCTGTAGCTGTCATAGGACACAGGAGTCCCTGCTGTAGTGCAGTGGTTACAATAACTACAGAGGGATCCTCAACTGGTGTGTGGTCATGCTGGTAAGACAAAAGCTATGGTTAGATGGCGGCATGCCTAGTCGCAGCGACCCAGAGTTCTCTCTGCTTTAGCAAAATTAGGACTGAGAGACTATAGACTATTTAATTTCTTTTATACATCTTATTTAAAAATATAGATATGAATGTGTGTGTATGTGACTGTAAGAATGATGTGATGAGTGAGTGTGCGTTGGTCTATCTAAAGTATCTACCTATCTTTCTAATCTCCTGGCATTGTAGTGTGCATAGCTAATAGCTCTTTCTATTTTATCCAACAGTGTCATAGATTTTACAGCTTCTTTGTCTTTAGTTTTTGCACACCTCAGGCTCCTTAAAAGGAGTTTAGTGACCACCTATTTATCTGTGTAAATAATTTCTGTGGCTGTCTTAACCTCCTGAGACCCAAACTTTTGTTTGGTATTCATTTTTAATTTCTCCTAGCCATTTGGAGTCAGTAGGACACGATAAGCATAAAAAACAAATCATTGTCAATGATAATATTGATAGAAAGTCCTCAAATGACTGACAATAAAGTTGCAACTTCTTTAAATGAGTACTTACTAGCAATGTCTCAGCTTGTTACTGATGTTACAATTGGTCTAATTTGTTGCCATATCAAATTACACACATTATTAATTATAAATAAACAAGTTTCAACCATAAAATGTGATCAAGTTTTAAACCTTGTGCCCTTTTGTATCAGGATTGGCTGCAAACTGACTTGGCAGAGATGGCTGCCATCTTGTTTTTACATGGATTAGTGTATTGTGGTCTTACTACACTAGATGGCCTAGATGAGGACGCAGGATGTCAGGATGATATGACACAGGAGTCCCTGCTGAGTTCAGCCAGTGGTTTCAATAACTACAGAGGGATCCTTAGCTGGTGTGTGGTCATGCTGGTAAGACAAAAGCTTTGGTTAATCTACTGGCATTGTGGTGTGCATAGCTAACAGCCAAAAAGTTTGGGCACCCCTGTACTAAATGGACCTTGAGGCGTTATTATTTGCCAACTATCCTGTTGGCTCTTTTCATGCATCAGATACACAGAGCCATCTACTGTATTTGGGTCTATTGTGGGAGGAGCTCTGGCTTCATACAGACTGACAGAGAGTTAAATACTTCCTCATTTCTCCTCTCTGAATAGACCCTCAAGGGTCTGACTCACCTGTCGCTTTAATGTGCAACAGTCAGACCAGTTACAGTACTGGGCGGCTGTCACTTCATGTGGCGTCATGAATACACTCCTACCTCCCATATCAACACCACGGATATTTGAGCTTAGGGCGGATTGTTGTGCAGCCCTTTCACTTCCCTCTCCTGGGCTACTACGCGAGCAGCAACAGGCATGCTACCATCAGGAGTTAACTGTTGAAGTTCACTTTAAGTAGGTTAAAAGCTGTTTCTGTCATCATGGGTGACTCGGAAGCGACCGGGACCTTGACTCGCAGGAGAAGGGCGACCTTTGCGGCGAGGAGAGGAGTGAGCCTGCTGCCGATGAACGGGAGGTCTGCGGCGGGGTGTCACAGCTCAGTGACCGCTGACATTAACGGGGATAACAGCCAGGGGAAACAGGAGCTTTCACTGGAAACAGCCCGGAGTAAATCAAAGAGTGAGAAAAAGAAACGCAGGAATGACTTAACTGACAGACTGAGGTGAGTTTAACTCAACTTACCGGACTGTTTTTTTTTTCGGAACTTGAAAGCCTTATGTTTCATGGTCAAAAATGTGACGCTGGCTCCAAAGTAGTGACGTCGCCTCACTTTGAGCTAGTATTTTAGTTACGGTGGTTAGCATAAGTTAAAGTGTTAGCTAGTTTGAATTTGCAGCGGACACCGAGGGGTTAACGGCTGGTCAGGGTCACTCCAGGCCGCCCTCAACGAGCCCTTTTGATTTTGTGTCTGTTGTCGCCCATTCACAACATCATTCCCACTACTTGGCAGCACTTACCCTTCATGGCTAACGTTAGTCCATGACTGTGTGTGTGACTGGGGCCGTTTCATTGATCAGTGGCCTATCTGACATGGACCGCATGAACAGGGTGAATTGTGGGTCAGATAATCCCCTTAGGCCAGTTATATAAAAGTAAAGTATACCCTGTGAACTGATACAGCACTAGTTGGTATTTAGTGTACAATAAATCAGTTGGCAATACCTAACTGTGGTGTATTAAAATACCATTAAAAGTAGTGTTGTTATTATGGGACATAAATTCAACCACACCTTTGGAAATTTGACTAATGTCACTTTTAGTTTTTTGAGCTGTTTTATTATTGACTGTAGCCTGTTGTTTTTGATGCTACGATCTATCTTCCTTTCTTTTTACTTAACAAAACTGCAAATCTGGAGTTCAGTGTTGACATTGATAAAAGACAACAGTGTATGTTCCCTATATCCTCCCGAGACCTGAACTTTTGCTTGGTATGCATTTTCAGTTTCTCCTTGCTATTTGGGATCAGTAGGACCTGATAAGTACGAAAAACTAATTATTGTCAGTGATAATAAAGTCCCAATGTCCTTCAACGAGCTGATGAAAAATTCCTCATGTCTGTAAATGAGTACCTTCTAATTAATAACATCTTGCTAAAATTGGTCAAATTTGCTGCCATATCAAATTACAAATGTTGTTAATTATTTAAAAAAACAAGTTTCAACCATTAAATTTGATCAGGTTTAGTACCTCGTCCACTTTTGTGTTGGGGTCGGCTGCAGACTGACTTGGCAGAGATGGCCGCCATCTTGTTTTTACATTAATTAGTGTGTTGTGGTCTCACTACCACCACATGGCACAAAAAAAAGTGTCCACAAAAGAGGACAACAGGTCTAAGTTAAGTAAAATTAAGTATAAGGTCCAGTAAAACTGTGATGACACAGGGTCTCAGGAGGATATTTATTGTTTGATGATATGTAATCAATGTGATACCAGAGTCAAATGGAAATAAATGTATTTTAAAGGGACAGTTCACTCCAGGGGCCAATTGTGGCATCAAGACTGATTTTTAAACGGCCCTTGGCTTGTCTTTCAAAATATACTATATGTTGCCCACCACACAACATGATGCGTTACTCTCACAACGGCAGAACTATCATATAGTTTGTAGACATGCACCAAGTAGGAACTATGCAGGTGGAACTAGTTTGTTTTCATAAACAGACAGCAAAGAAGCAAACAAAAAGTTACCTAACAGCAGACACTTCCTGCTACGTAGCAGACATGGCCATAGCAAATAAGTGTAAAGTCAACAGCGAGGGTCGCCGCTCTCTGGAGCCGTGGAAAATTACATACTTTTTCACTGAAAGATGGACAGTTGGGTTTGTCTCATGTTATGATGAAAGACGCAGCTGCCCCCCAGGTATTTCCACATTATCTAATCTGGCCCCCATTCAAAAAAGTTTGGACACCCCTGAACTCGACTGATAAATAACACTACAGGTAAGAAGAAAAATATGTATGTTTGATTTTGGGGTGAACTGTCCCTTTAAACTCTTGATTGATCTTGATTGTCTCACCTGTTTATCTGGGTAATATATTTCTGTAGCTGTCATAGGACACAGGAGTCCCTGCTGTGTTCAGCCAGTGGTTACAATAACTACAGAGGGATCCTCAACTGGTGTGTGGTCATGCTGGTAAGACAAAAGCTATGGTTAATCTACTGGCATTGTGGTTTGCATAGCTGACAGTGTCATACATTTTACAGCTTGTTTGTGTTTAGTTTTTTGCACATCTCTGGCTCCTTTGTAGTGATTACGTTCAGGTTACATTATTAATAATAAGTGAAAGCAAAATATGAGTGAATCCCAAGTGTGTGCTGGCATGATACCCAGTTTGTACTCATCCTCTCTTTCATAGAAGAGCTCACTGTAAAACAGAATCTCAATGTTGAGCAGATAGTACACTGATATTGATACAGCCAAAGAAACCAAAATTATATAAAATGAGGAAGAAATAGTCCCAATTTTTCTATAAATAAACTGCGTCTGATACTGTGTCACATCTGGTTTACTGCAAGCTTAACCACACTGCAAAAAAAATTTAACAAGACATAAAATTTGTCAACCCATATGGTTTTGGGGGGGGGTTAGAAATAACATTACGTTTCATTAAAGAGGCTCTTTGTGAAATTCAGAGTCATCCGGACAAGCTTGTGATCATGGAGGTGGTGGGGAGTTTTTCCTTATCCACTGTGAGGGTCCAAAGGACAGAAGGATGTGGTATGTTGTGAAGCCATCTGAGGCAAATTGTTATTTGTGATATTGGGCTTGAACTGAATTGAATTGAGCCGCCAGCTAGCAGCTAATGGTGCTAATTCCATAAAAAAGTGCTAAGCAAAGGCAACAGTGCTGACAGAGCTAATGGTGTTAACCTGTGGGGAACCGGAATGTGGGCGCTGTGCTTCCTTAAAAACGTTGTCCCAATATCTGTGGTAACTGTGGTAAAGTGGCGGTGAGCTGTGGGATATACACATGCACTGACATGCAAACGCGGCCAGACAGGCTTACCACAACAAAGAAGCTCTGATTACAACACACACATTCATGCTCTGAACGTTGCACACACAACCTTTACATCAGTGGTTCCCTACTGATCCAGTCACAGGGTCCAGATTTCTCTTTAATCATTAGTTCAAGGTCCACACAGTTTAATACATTCAGTGTCATACTTGTGTTTGAACATGTCGTCCAGCTAGTTTGCTGTCCCTGTCAAGTAGCTGTCTGTTAGTCGGTCACTCCACAGCAGGAAATGGCACTTGAAAGTAAAAGCTCTGTGCCCGAAATTAGCTGCACTTCAAAATAAAGTGTGTTTTTTACAGACTTGACACATTTGTGAGTCACTTGCGGTCCATGTAGAAAGGACCTGTGACCCACTTTTGGACGCCGACCCACCAGTTGGGATCAGCTGATTTAAATTACCAAACACAAAAACATCTTACTTTACTTAAGATTGCTAATTTTGAGAAATTTCTCAAAATATCAAAATAATGTGCACGTATAGTAAAATAATTCATGCCAAGCTCAACAGCTTTTCCTCCGTACTGGTGCAAGGTGACAGAATACGAGGGAATGTGGGGAAGACAAGGCTGGCAAAGCCCTCTGTTAATCCAGGCTTTGAACACAGATCGTTGTGTTCATCGCAGGAGGTTTTCCTTCACTCCCACTGAACTTCTGTCCCATCCCCAGGCACAGAGCCTTTGTGCTGGGTAATGAGATATTACAATCCATTTAGAAAGAGGAAGAGCGAGGAGGAGAGATAAACAAGAATGTGGGGAGGAGGAGGATGAAGAGGAGCAGAGATGAGATACAGGGGGAGGCAGGAAAGAGTGGAGCAACAGAAGGAGAGAGATATTCTGAAAGAGGGGTTGATATGAAGGAATGAATTTACTGGATTATATTTGTTGGAATGACAATATGAACACATGAAAGAAACAGAGAAGAAGGTGTTATTGTGGATACACACATGAGATACAGTCAGGTCCATAATTATTTGGACAATGATACACTTGTCATCATTTTGGCTCTGTACACCACCACAATGGGTTTTAAATGAAACAATGAATACCTGCTTAAAGTGCAGACTCTCAGCTTTCATTTAAGGCTTTTTTCAAAAATGTAGTATGAACCGTGTAGGAATTACAACCATTTCTTCACACAGTCCCCCGACTTTAAGGGCTCATAAGTATTTGGACAAACTAACATAATCATCAATTAAACAGTCAGTTTTAATACTTGGTTGCAAATCCTTTACAGTCAATGACTGCCTGAAGTGTTGGACACATAGACATCACCAGATGCTGGGTTTCTTCCCTGGTGATGCTCTGCCAGCCCTTTACTGCAGCCGTCTGCACTTCCTGCTTGTGTTTTGGGTGTTTTGCCCTCAGTTTTGGCTTCAGCAAGAGAAACGCATGCTCAATTGGATTCAGGTCAGATGATATGACTTGACCATTACAGAACATTCCACTTCTTTGCCTTAAAAATGTCTTTGGTGGCTTTTGCAGTATGCTTCAGGTCAATGTCCATCTGCGCTGTGAATCATCGTCCAATGAGTTTTGAAGCATTTGGTTGAATCTGAGCAGATAATGGTGCCCCAAACACTTGAGCTTTCATCCTGCTGCTCTTGTCAGCAGTCACATCATCAATAAATACAAGAGAACCAGTTCCACTGGCAGCCATACATGGCCATGACTTAACAGTACCTCCACCATGCTTCACTGATGAGGTGGTGTGCTTTGGATTCCACAACTGTACAGGCTTTTTAGATGGTTTTTGACAAACTCTAATCTGGCCTTCCATTTTTAAGGCTAACCAATAGTTTAGGGTTTATCACAAGATGCAAACTATTGGTTAGCCTTAAAAATGGAAGGCCAGATTAGAGTTTGTCAAAAACCATCTAAAAAGCCTGTACAGTTGTGGAACAGCATACTATGGACAGATAAAACAAAGATCAACTACCAGAATGATGGGAAGAGAAGAGAAGGAAGAAGGGAAGGAACTGCTCATGATCCAAAGCACACCACCTCATCAGTGAAGCATGGTGGAGGTACTGTTATGTCATGGCCATGTATGGCTGCCAGTGGAACTGGTTCTCTTGTATTTATTGATGATGTGACTGCTGACAAGAGCAGCAGGATGAAAGCTCAAGTGTTTGGGGCACCATTATCTGCTCAGATTCAACCAAATGCTTCAAAACTCATTGGACGATGATTCACAGTGCAGATGGACATTGACCTGAAGCATACTGCAAAAGCCACCAAAGACATTTTTAAGGCAAAGAAGTGGAATGTTCTGCAATGGCCAAGTCATATCATCTGACCTGAATCCAATTGAGCATGCGTTTCTCTTGCTGAAGCTAAAACTGAGGGCAAAACACCCAAAACACAAGCAGGAAGTGCAGACGGCTGCAGTAAAGGGCTGGCAGAGCATCACCAGGGAAGAAATCCAGCATCTGGTGATGTCTATGTGTCCAACACTTCAGGCAGTCATTGACTGTAAAGGATTTGCAACCAAGTATTAAAACTGACTGTTTAATTGATGATTATGTTAGTTTGTCCAAATACTTATGAGCCCTTAAAGTCGGGGGACTGTGTGAAGAAATGGTTGTAATTCCTACACGGTTCATACTACATTTTTGAAAAAAGCCTTAAATGAAAGCTGAGAGTCTGCACTTTAAGCAGGTATTCATTGTTTCATTTAAAACCCATTGTGGTGGTGTACAGAGCCAAAATGATGACAAGTGTATCATTGTCCAAATAATTATGGACCTGACTGTAGTTGGGTGAACTCTTGCTTTGTGTTACAGGTGCTGAGTAATGCTCGCCTCTTCTTAGAAAACCTGTTAAGGTAAGTACGATTGGACTCTTCTGAAAAGCGTGTCATTTTTTACTCCTGTCTTTTTTCCTGGGTGCTTTTTCCCAGTATGTCATTCCTGAACAGAGATTCCAGTGATGTTAATGATGAAAAATACCAAACAGAAGTACCAGCTTCTCAAAAATGTCACTGTCTTCTAGTGTACTAATTCTGTTATGTCTCTTTATTGCTCAGTTTGGACAGTAGGCAAAGCATTTTGACATCTCTTGTAGAAAAGCACAGGTGTAATTGATACAACAGTTTCAGGGTCCTGGTATTGTGCATGCTGATACTGGGCCAATGTAACAGAGCCATCAATAGTGTTAGTAGTCACACCTGCATGCACCTGCAGTCTATATAAATAAAACATAAAATGAAGCCTATACTGGGGTAAATCGAAAACAACTCACTAAAATTAAATCATCCATTTCTCCTGTGTTATGCAATAGTACTTATATTCATATGTGTTCTCTCATGTCTTTTTTATGTATGTTTTTTACTTGCTGTGCAACTAATTGCCCTCTAGGGACAAAATAAAGTTGAAGCTGAGGCACAGTTCTTAATTTTTTTAATTTCAGAAGGAAATTAACTTCATTAAGTGACTTTAGAAAACACTTCCTTATTTCAGCAGTTTACACACGTATTTTAAATATATACTGTGTATGAATTGTTGCTTACTGTTTGTACATAGCATCGCCTGTGAAAGTGAAAGCCGACTTCTAGCTCACCTTTTCGACTGTGCATCCCATGTAGGCAGAGTCCCCTGCAGCAGCGCAGGCTCCATTCTGACCTGTGACCCTTTGCTGCGTGTCGTCTCCCTCTCGCTCCCACTTTTCCTTTCAGGCTTCAGCTGTACTATCACTAAAAGGCAAAAATACAAAAAATAATTTTAAAATAATAAAAAAACTGAAGCTAATCCCAGATTTTTTCAGCCTGTGTCCATGATTTTTGTAGCTTCCTCTTTCTCTCGTCCCTACTCACTACCTTTTTATGAAGTCCAGACCTCACCTGTGTGCTGTGCCCAGGATCGTTCCAAACAGGGCAAACTGAAAAATAAAAACTAGAACTTCGGCCTCGTGGTTGTATGCCTCTGCCAACCAGTCAAGGTGTACATCCATGTCTGTCCAAACTCATGTAATATATGTAGAGAAGACTTTGAAGGGATTTGGTAATGGTATTAAGTGTATTTTTTGGCAAAATGTGGATACTTCACACACTTCAGAGGATAGGCGAACAACCTGTTAACACCCCGACCACTGAGTAATCAGATTACTGGAAAAACTAGAATCACCACGTCAAGACTGTATGCCTCCAGTCAAGTTGCAGTGACATTTTACGTCTGTCCAGACTCTTATGTAGCCATGACGTGGATGCTTCACATCTTCAACCCAGCAACACGGAAGATCTACACAATCAACAGTCTCACGGTGGACACACAAGATTACTGTCACCAATTCAGTATCTGAGCAAATGTCTCCCATCTGTTCCTGAGATGTGACATTAAATAATAGCCAGAAAGGTGTTTTTGCAGAACATTATGATGTCACAGTGAAGCTGACCTTTGACCTTTTGAATATAAAATGTCATCACTTCATTTTATTCTATTAGACATCTGTGTGAAGTGGATTAGGGTAGTATAAGGTACCTTTAATTTAGATTTGTCTTTTTTCATCTACCATTTCCTTTTTCTTTTGGTTGTGTTTTTAGGTATGGTGTTCTGGTGGACCCTATTCAGGTGATTTCCTTGTTTCTGAAGGATCCCTACAGCTGGCCAGCAGCATGCCTGGTGATTGGTAGGTAAACTTTTAATCTGTCCAACACAATCACAGTCGCCAAATTAATCAGGAGATTAATAAGATGAGATAAAAACTGTTGAACATCAGGAACACTGATTTATAATTAAAATAAGGGAAGAAAATCACATAAAATGTCACTGCTGTTAAAACTGAGCTTGAAAGGAAACCAGGATGAAATACAGGGATAGATGTCGAACCAAAAATGGAATCACTCATAACCACCAAAGCCTAAAAAATGATATGGGACACATGGGAGTGAGATTCATGTACATGAGTACTGATAGTTTGTCTACTGCTAAAATTTCATCTGGCCATGTCCCCTACATTACACCATTGAGTCATTTAAAAGCAGTGTAGCAATAACACTTCAAAAACATGAAGAAAAATCAACTTTTTGATTTTTTTTGTTTCTGAAATGAAATCACAACATTTTTATAATTAGGTAGAATAACTGAACTGTGTTTGAAGCGGTGTTTCCAGTTTTTGGAGGTGTGATCTGCCTCATTTCAAGCTTTGGTTTACTCTCAGGCGCACGCTACATTCAGAGTTTTTCCACTATTTATTTTTATGGTATATCGCACTGAAAGTCTGCAGTGGTGCAGCTTACAGTGTCTCTAGAGGGACAATCACCTGCCCTATATACTGCACACTGGTACTGTACTGCAGAGAGAGGAGGAGAGTGAGAGAAATGGGGAGCAGGAGAGGAGAGATGAGTGGGGGTGAAAGGAGAGAAGCTGTTGGGGGGAGGGAGCTTTAAATGGAAGAGAAAATAAAGTGATTTAAGTTCTATAGAGAGGGTTGGAAAGAGGGAGAGGATGCAGGGATGAAAAAATGGAGGCATGCTGGAAAAGGGGGAGAGTAAAGGAGTGGGGAGTGAGAAGAGAGGGCTGATGTAAAGTGCTGCATCGGCACAGGGCAGGAGGAGAGGGAGGGAGGAGGAGATGGATGGAGTTAGGGTAAATGACCGCACTGATGATAGTTAAGAGACAGGTGAGAATGGGAGTGTGTTTACGGTAGCATGGACAGTAAAGCGGCTCATTCCCAGAGGGCATTCAGTACTTGTAGAGTCACTGCAGCAACTTGCACGCACACACACACACACACACTGCTACACACAAACACCCCACCAGCGTAAATGAGAAGTCCACAGTTTGTGGTAGCCTACCAGCACAATGGGTAAAGTTTGGAAAACCAGCCTGGGGAGTTTTAAATTTAGGCGACTGTGCCTGTGAGTCACCAGAATAAAAAGGGAAGCAGACACTAGTGTAAGGTATCTCACTACACTACAAGTCTGTTGCTGCCAAAATATCTGCCAAAAGCTGCTGTGTAGATACCTGATGAAAGGTTTACGTGTGTCTAACAGGTGCTAGATGGTGCTGTTTGTTCCAGTTTGATGCTCGACTGGGCTCAATAGTTGCTGTTTGTCAAAGATGCTCAACAGGCCTGTTTCCAGAAGAGATAAAAAAAGAACATTAGTGTGCTATGCTTTTCCTGAGGCCTCTGCTCCTGGGTAGAGTGAAGTGTGTGATGAAGAACGTAAAATAAATCTTATTAGAGGGTTTTACTAAACTTTTGGACTTTTTCAGTGGAGAAAATTTTGCATAAATGAGTGACATTTTTGCTAATCATAATGTAGCTTTGAGTGTACGACTCAGATGAAAAAAAAATGTTTTAAATGGTATTCAGCATTTTTAGTCAATGTACTGGAGGGATCAGTATGAGGTCAGAGGAGATAATTATGGATGGACCTGCATTTGTATAGCGCCTTTCTAGTCATCTAGTGACCACTCAAAGCGCTTTTTACACTACGAGTCAAGTTCACCCATTCACACACACATTCATACACTGGTGGCCGAGGCTACCATACAAGGTGCCACCTGCTACTCAGTTTTAACACACTCACACACCGATGGAACAGCCATCGGAGCAATTTGGGGTTCAGTATCTTGCTCAAGGATACTTCGACATGCAGCCTGGAGGAGCCTGGGATCGAACCGCTGATCTTTCGATTGGAGGCTCTACCTCTGAGCTACAGCTGCCCCTTTATTATGGCAACTTATTATGACAACTTATGGCAACTGGGGGTGTGGGGGAAATGTGAAGCATTTCCTACATTCTGGTGAATTTTGAACAGGTTTTGCACCAAAAATTCAGCACAAAACAAAATTCAGGTGGCAGTTGACAATTCCAGATATAGATATAGAAGATATAATTGAATATAATGCAGTGAAGCTCTCTGGCATTGTGAATTGCTTTCAAATATTTTTCCCCCATAGATCAACTTCACTCATTAAATGTCAGCACACGTGTTTGCATGATTTATTCTTCCCTTCCCTCTTTTGTTTGAGGAAGTAACCCCTTTAAATGTGCATGCGGCACCTATTCATGTCAGTGACACAGTAAGTAATTTGAATTCATTTATAAACCCCTGGATTTATCTGGATTTATTTCTCTATCTACTGTAAAACTTCAGTTAGTAGCCTGGGCTATTATTTGCTTAGATTACTGAAATCAACAGGCCTATATTTGGGACAGGCCTTTAATTCCTTTAACACAAAACTGTTGCTCAGCAAAGATGGGAAATACAGTCAAATTGTTTATTTAAACCAGTATGAATATTACTTGTTTAAAAATAAATCAGTTATGACGTATTCAATTGATCGAACTCCGACAGACAGCGCATCAGAGACAGAGAGTGACTTATGGCACTCAAGGTCACAACACCACTTTATCCTGTGAAATTAATACTCACAACTTTAATTAATTTTTGTGAAAAACCCTTTTGATTCTTTTGATCTGAGGACCCTTACACACTAAGGGAGTATGAATAACTCACAGGGTAATCTAATCTAGAAATAGACACATAATTTCAGGTAGCCTACAACCTGGTTTTATACATCAGAAGAACTTCTCCAAATAAAACAAACTGCTTGGCGACCAGACCAGGTGTCTCATTAAGACAGGTGTTTATTTGTCAAAATGCATAGCCACACTGGGCTAGTAAAAGGGACTGGGTGTTTAATTGGGACTAGGCTTTTAATTGAATTTTTAAGGTATCTAGTTATACAACAAAATATTCCTTATGAATCAACCCTGATTGTTTTAATTCTCAGACTTCTCATGGAAATTTAAGCTTAGTGATAGTTTTGTGACTCAGACTCGCTCTCATCGAATGTCAGTCACCAGCAGTCCGGCACTCCTGAAACTGTTTACCACACATGGCAGGCTGACAGATACGCAACCAAGATGTTGAAAATGTCAAGTGCAAAGATGACCCCCAAAAGTCAAGTGCCAGAAATGCCAGAGGAAACTGGCATATATCAAAAATCTACTAAGAGCAAAGCAGATCACCTGAAACCTGTAAGCAACAGTTTAGCTGTCCTGCAAAGTATTTATTTTTGTAGCTATCTTCTTACTATATAATGACGAAAACTCTGTCTGTCTGTCTGTCTGTGTGTGTGTCTGTTCCACGTTTTTCTCCTCACTGACTTGGTCAATCCATGTGAAATTTGGCACAGTGGTAGAGGGTCATGGGAGGATGTGAATGAAGCAATATTACATCAGTTGGCCAAAGGGGGGCGCTATAGCAACCGACTGAAATTGCAAACTTTGAATGGGCATATTTCATGCCATGTATGTCATAGAGACATGAAACTTTGCACAGAGATGCCTCTCCTCATGAGGAACAAATCTGTCTCAAGAACCCATAACTTCCGGTTATACAGATTTTCCGCCATTTTGAATTTTTTGAAAAACACTTAAAATCGATCTCTTCTTAGGAAGTTTGACCGATATGCATGAAACTGGGTGAACATAATCTAGGGACCAATATCTAAAGTTCCCTCTTGGCAAAAGTTGGAAAACTTACTAAAACTGAGCTTCTATAAGGCAATGAATATTGCGGAGGGCGTGGCTCATCACATAAAGGTGTATAACATCTCAAGGGTTTCACCCATCACCACGCAACTTTGTAGGCATATGACCACACATAATCTGAGGGGACCCCTCCATTATTGACCCCATCAAACAAAATGGGGGCGCTAGAGAGCTAATTTCTTATCTAGGCCTAACTGCCATATTGATTTTTACTAAACTTGGTAGATATGTAGAACAGGACGCCTCAAGGTGACTGGAGAAATTTAACTCTAATTGGCAACTGGGTGGCGCTATAACAACAGAAAAATGCTTAAAAATGGTTAAAATGCGACCGATCGCTGTGGCTCCCCCTGTGGCCCAATGTTTTTTGTTTTGTTTTTTTCTAATTTTTGGTATGACTAAGTCATGGTATGGTATACTGTACATATTCATGGAAACTGTCAGTGTGTCATTCTGTCAGTCAGTCATTCTGTCTGTCCCACGTTTTTCTACTCACTGACATGGTCAATCTATGTGAAACTGCACACAGGCATTGAGGATTGGCAAAGGTAGAAGGTGACAAAGCTACTTTTTCCAAACATGTACATGTGCAACTGTTCACTAAATGGGTATGGGCTAGTTATGGCTAACGTGTGACCTGCATGCTAACAAAGCGGCTAATTTTCATGTTATTTTAGTCGCATCAGCTGATGTCCTCTACTCTTATTTTCATATCCTCTAAGCTTCGATAAATCACAGATATTTCTCACTAAAGTTTCCATGTCCAACACTGGTATTCCTTATTGTGCAAATAAACCTTTTATAAAGTTAGTTAACATTTCTTGGTGCAAGCTATTTACCAAATTATGCTATTCAAAAAAAAAAAATGATGAGGGTAAAACTGGTAATGTCAAAAGTGGTGGCGACATGTCCCTCGCATCCTTAGTGTAAATGACACGTGTGCTTGTGCATGATTGGCTTGCTTTATGAACAAATCTGGATCACATGAAGAATGGTTTTGCTTGGAAGGCATCGGTTTTCTCTCTGAACCTCCTTGTCTCTCTTCATAGAACCAAATACACCATGAAGTCAAAAACAAGCATGTGACTGCACCATTAAACAAGTTGATTTGGAATGGCAATGCTGATGGATAGATGCACTGATGACAGAATGATAAGACCCAGTAATCAAAATGTCTGACAGTTAACACATCTGCTCACTCGAGATTAGATTGATTGACATGCTAATGCACTGATTAGGGTCTTAAAATGGAACAATTGCTGCAATTATGTGCCATCAGTGTGGCTCAGCCTGGTCTAGTCAGGGTAATGAGCAATCTACATAGCTGTGGTTTCCCTAAGTTCATTCAGCAATGAGTTACCCCGCAGTTTGAACTGACACTGCTACAAGATTTTAAAGAAGGAGAAATCCACACAGAATTCAGCCCAATTAGCTCCACACTGAATCAGGCTTTGTGGCAACAATTAATACATATTAAAGTGCACATTAAAGCTGTAATTGGTAACTTTTTTGTATTTGCTGAAACTGAGAAAGCTGGTTTGCACAGTGCTTCTTATTTTGGTTGACTGTTTCCAACATGGCGGACAGGTCACAAACTCTCATTTTACAGCTAATTAGTCAGAATATAATGAATATAGTGTTTATGCAAATATCATACAAAGGTTTTTTTTTTTTTTAATAAAAGTTACCTACCACAACTATAAATAAACCAGACTAGGTCAAAACCTAGTACATGACTGGGCTGTGTAAGAAACACCAGAGCGCTCTAATTTGAAATGAGGTCATAAGGTTTATGTTGCCTGAGCCCACAGGAACGACGCTTCGCAACGCTTTTCTTTTTTTCTCAGAGTGTGGATTAGAATATATGCAGTTCACAAAATCTGGACTAAATTCATATATGTACGCTTGAAGATCCACGCATTACTATAAGTGTATGTCATATTAAAACTATTGCAATGGTCAAAGTTGTCACAGTCAAATTTAAGGTGTGTTGATGGATTCATGTCGTCACCTCATGCATTGAATAACATTACAAGTTAACGTTCCACCTCAAAAGTCACCGGCAGTCAGCCCAGTGAATTAAATTATTGTTTCTCAGACTCCAGCTGCTGTGAGAGGCAGCAAAACATCCTTTCACGGAACGGTTCCATTGGTACCATCCACAACTTTTCACAGTGGAAACGGAAAAAAAAGCGTACCGAACTGAACTGAACCGTACTGCTCGGTGGAAACAGGGCTATAGACACAGTCACACAGCAAAAGTGACCTGCTTCCTCTTGAGCTGTAGCCACTGATCAAGCTCTGTTTTGCTCAATTTAACACAACCCTCCTCTCCCCTCTTCAGCTCCGGTCAGTGATGTATCATTATGTCCCTGCATGACTGGTGGAGGTTTCACAGCCATCGACCACAATCAGAGCCAAGTTCCACTAGTATCATTCATTCATTCATTTTCCATAATTGCTTATCCTGTTGGGGGGCTGGAGCCTATCCCAGCTGACATCGGGTGAGAGGCGGGGTACACCCTGGACAAGTCGCCAGACTATCACAGGGCTGACACATAGAGACAGACAACCATTCACTATATAGAGTCATCAGTCAACTTGCATGTCTTTGGACTGTGGGAGGAAGCCGGAGTACCTGGAAAAAACCTACACTGACACGAGAAGAATATGCAAACACAGAAGGGCTCCCCCACCCTGGGTTCAAACCATGAACCCTCTTCCTGTGAGGTGACAATGCAAAGCACTGCACCACCATGCCGCTCGACCAATATCAATAGTTTGTAAATTATCCCAATGGTGCCTATTACCAAAGAGAGAGTGGCGGCATCCATTGGACATGGTAACATGTTCTGGTCAATAACGTTACACGTACATTTGTCTGTCATTCAGACATGGCTCTTCTTCACACAAATTAGTAAGGCGTTCCTCTCTTTTCTCTGTCCATAACTGCCATTTTGACCACGGTTGGCTAGTTAGCTAGCTAGCTTGCTAATTAGGCCATGCTTTTATGCTAACATTACAAAGTTGCAGCCAAAAATGGAGCACTAGAAACTTACTTTCATTCCAAACCATTTTTGGCTCTCAATACAGTACATTCTTTTTTTGTTTTTTGGTTGTTTTATTCCTAAAATCCGAATATTGTAGCTGTTTAATACAAAGCAAGTTCTCTTTTTTGAAGTGTGTGTGTATGTGTGTGAACACTCTCAATTGCCTTGTCACTCTAACTAACTAGCAGTTGGCGTGTGCCTGTGCAACACATATGCTCTGTTAGTGCTGGCTCATTTCTTTCATCAGGTGTCACTGTTTAATCATGTGAGACTGTGTGTGTGTGTGTGTGTGTGTGTGTGTGTGAGAGAGAGAGAGAGAGAGAGAGAGAGAGAGAGAGAGAGAGAGAGACAGACAGCGTGTTCTATGTGTGAGGCAGCAGGGAGTTGCTAAAAAGGCAAGCGTAAATCTTAATTCACTTAAATACCCAACTTGACACCAAACCAGGACACACATTAGACTTGAAGCCAACGAATCTTAACCAATACTGCTTTGAAAAGAATGATCTAAATAAAGAAACATCCATAGTCAGACTTTGATCCCGCAGAGACTCTTCAGAAGTGGCTTTGTAAGAAATGTAATCTGGATTGTTTCATGGAAACTGACATGAATCTGTCGTTGTGTTTTGACAGCGTCCAACGTGTTCATTCTGGTGGCTCTCTACACAGAAAGGCAGCTGTCGAAGGTGAGTGGAGAGACCCCTGCTTGCACTCCAACATCAGAGCACTGTGGATTTTAACTGTTGAATTTGGAGCACTTTCACAACTCCCAGGAGGGATTATTTTTCTAAAAACTGTTCACTAAAACCGACTGAGTAGCTGACCCTCCCCAGTTGCAACCGCAAATGTTAAATGGTAAAATGAGGAATTAGTTTCACCATCTGCATTTAGGGCATATTCAGTTATGCTCTGTCTGTTTGGCATGAATATGGAACATTGCAAGCTTTTTAAAACTTTAGTAGGCCACCATAACTTGAAATGCGGTTTGGTTTTATTCTAGAGAGCTGTTCAAAAGCAAAGCAAAAACTATTTAGTTTTTATGTTTAGCTGTTGTATTCTTATTGTTGTTAGAATAAGCTCAACAACAAATGACTGTTACCTGAGTAAAGGCAGTTAGTCGGGTGATGATGGTTTAGATTAAACTTGTTGTCTTTAAGATTTAATGTTAAAAAAAACTCCTGCTGTCCCTCTTTGCCTCTCTTTCTACCCAGGGCTCATTCTCTGAACTTGTGGGATTTCTGGTCCATTGCATTAATATGGCAATCATGCTAACATTCCCTGCTGCACTGGTCCTACTGGTCCCCTCCATGACCCCAGGTAAAATGTTGTTTTTACTGTTATTAAAATACCATCTCTGCAACCTTGCTGCTACCTGCTGTTCATAACGACAAGCAGTCGACTAAAATAGTAGCATCCAAACCATTATCCATTCATTGGTAGTTAACAGAGTTGCCATGTGTATAAAACAGAAAATAATGTAATTTTAATAAAGATTAAGGGGACATTCACATCCTTGCCCTTCAGAGAAACAGTCGACCAGTTTGGTAGTGCAGTAAAAGGCATCCCTTATACCGAGCCATAATTGGAGTCGGTTAGTGGTAATGGACCAGTTGGTCATGACTGGATTATTTCCAGCTGGCTCTGAGGAGAAAAGAGGAGAGGAGGGGAGAGGAGGGGAGAACAGAGAAGAAGCGAAAGACAGGAAAGGAGAGATGCCAAAGTGGGTGTGGTTAACAGTACAGGGTCATCCAAGGGTCACCTTCCTCTGTCTTCATCAGGCTGCCTGACAGAAACCATGGCTGCCCTCCACAAGTGACACAGTTCACCTGTGATAAATTAGCAACACTTTACACAACATGTTACAGATTCAGTCAAAACCTTATAGATCCAGTTTTTAATAAAGATTACAGATTAGTAGTAGTAGAACTAGTTAATCAGGATGGGTATCTAATGTAACTTTCATATTCGAGTACACACATTAGATTATTATAGAGTACTTGTAAAAAAGTAAATAAATAATGCAAGAATGGGAATGTAAATTAGCCAATGACGGAAAACAAGTGCAGTTTGAATTATATTTATTGCAAAATCAGGCTTCAGTCAGCCGATTAAACCACAAATTCAAATTTAACACAAAAAATAAGCAAACTTTCTGATGCTGCTGTTACAAAGGTTAGATGCTGCGGAGTCTGGAGTCGCACTCCTCCCAGTCAGTTGAATGTCTGCCCTGGTTAGCAAAAGCTAACACTGCAGCATTAGCAAGTGTAGCAGGTCACCAGGGATGCTGGTAACATTGGAGTATCTAGTTTGGGTGTAGTTTGTTTTACATTGAACTGTCCATTGAATGCATCACCTCCAGGGGCTTACAGCATGACAGTACATATAGAGTTAACATCATTTAGGAAATTAATAACAGTACACTGACTTATTGGGTACACTGACCAGCGCTAAGATACTATACAACTTTTATTTGAAGTCTGTTCTATATGGCTTAATATTTTCAATCAATCCTTTGCAATGTTTTTCAAATAAAGCTGTCTCAAGTCTCAGTTCAAAGGTTAATCTTTCCATAATATAAATTTCATGCATCACATTAAACCAGTCAATTAAAGTGGGAGGTTCTTAATTTAGCCATTTTGTAATTATTGCTTTTTTTTACAGGCAACCAGCATTATTCTATCCAACTTTTACTTTTCCCCAAGCCATCTTGCTTGCACTGTGGTAAAAGTAAAATGAAGGACCTCTACCAAGGATACATATTTTGGACATAATGAACTTGAAAATATTTCACGGCCAAAGTCGCATTCCTCACCTAACCCATAAACGTTTCACAGTAGAAGTGTTTCACACCTTTGACATAATATATTTAGCTCAGATTTTTGGCACAGTCTCAGTCCTGTTTTCATCAAACATCAGTTGGGACACAACCTTTATCTTTACCTTGTCCATGAGACAGACAGATGAGTGAGTTTCTGGTGTCATTTTGCACACATTCTAATGTTTATTTGGTCCAAGAAAATTACTGTTTTAATTCTCCGCTCCTCTCCTGTTTTGGTATATTTCCTTTCCTCTCCTCTCATCTGTTCTCTCACTGGGAGGTGAAGGCGTAAAGGAGTCAGTCCATCTGTCTGTCTGTTTTCCTCTCTGCGCTGCTGTTCACACAGGAAGGGCAACGACAGAGGGCAGGTGTTTGTGTGTGTGTGCATATGTAGCAATATGTGTGTGCATCTACTGTACACTGTTAATGCAACCAGTATTCAGCCATTCAGCAAGGACCTGATATCAAGCTTCATTTCAAACTGTTTTAAATTTCTTTTGAGGAATACTGGAGTGATGAGGGGAACCTGATCTTCTGATGTCCTTAATTGTGTGCAAGTCTGCTACAAGGAATTCTTGGGTTCAGAATGAACAATAGGGAGTAGCTGTGTTTTTCTGAGTTTGATTCTATACGCTTCTCAGTATAGTCAGACAGTCTACGGTGTACATACAGTGTAGCCCTGCATACCTGACGTGTTCTTAAGTAGGTGTAAATGCACTGTAACACTCTGCTCATGCAGTCACTATTTAGCACTCTACATTAACCAGTGGGCTGCTGTACAATGAGAGGTGTGAAACTGTTTTGTTGAACTCTGTTTCTCTGTCATAAAACCTACAGCTCGCCAATGTTCTGATGAAGCAACTGACAGAAAGCAGCAAGTAAAATATGAGGGAGCAGGTGTATGGCACTCTGACAGCTCTCAGAGGCCACGTTTACATTGGATATGGGTCACGCAAACAGTATATTCTGTTCAGATATTCCAAATTTCCAAATTTAGCATTTCACCATTCAGACGTGGTTATGCCGGCATTATTCAGATTTTAAAAACATTATTTGGGCATGTATACAGTGCATTAGGAATATGTGTCTCAACTGGGGGTTTCACCACAGTTTGCAACACACAACCTCTTGCCTGTTTAAGGTCAGCTTTGTGTGTTGTCATGGATATGTTGTGTGCAAACCACCAACAGTTTGTAAGGCTGGTGTAGAGATGCATGCCCAAAAGAAAAGCTGGCATTTCTGGTCAGAAGCACAAGAAGCACACCTACTTTTAAACATCATTAAAGACTTTGATGTCAACAGGTTTTTGATATGCGCAAATATTGCAACACCGACCTTTTCGAGGAGGTGGTTGAAGGAATGAGAGAGGGAGGCTGTGTTTGCACGGTCTTAACAAGTCCACCACTGAACTTTGAAAAAATCCTATTTTGATGCAAAGAAGAAAAATAACAAGCGGCTCCAGCCATTCCACTTTTCTAGATTTTGACGTGATAAACAACATGTTAGAGTACAACATGTTACTCAGAGTTTGCACGGCTGCGTGTACAAGGGAGTGTTAGTGAAATATTAATTTTTATTAGCCATGTAAACAGCTTAGTAGGAATATTGTGTTTTTTGGAATAAGGATGAAAAATGTAATGTTTTGTGCGTGTAAATGTAGTCAGTGTGATGAATGAGAGAAGCAGAAATCCTCTGCACAGCAAAACAATTCACACAGGTGCTGCTGCTCAAACATAGTGCACCTTTTTAGGCTCCTAAGGTCACATCTCAGATCCAAACCTAGACAATAATCCGTGTCGCACAGGCTTGAAAGGGAGGTGTGTCAAATTGAGTCATCTGAGGTACATGCAAGAGGTATCATGTTAACTGAGCGTGGCATATCTAGCAGTATAACGGGTTTTTTTTTTTGTTACCTGTCACTCCAGACTGTTGTCCATGTCTGTATAATTTTATGCCTCTGCACCCGAGATGCCGTGGCTGAAGTGTTATACAATACAACATTTCAAAAACACCTTGAGGGGATTTCTTTCTTTGGCACAATTGCCACTAAAACTTGAGAATAAACTTATCAGAATCAAGGTCAAGGTCACTGTGACCTTACAAAACATGTTTTTGGCCATAATTCAATAATTCATACACAGATTAAGACAACATTTCACACAAATGTCTAATTGGATAAAATTATGAATTGACTGAACATTTTATATCAAAAAGGTCAAAGGTCAGCTTCACTGCGACATCTTAATGTTCTGCATAAATACATTTCTGGCCATTATTCAACATCATATCTCAGGAACAGAAGGGGAGACATTTGGTCAGATACTGAATTGGTGACACTAATCTTGGGTGTCCATCTTGAAACTCATGAAACTATATTCTGTGTGGCGACGTGAGGACGTGAAGCATCCACATCATCGCTACATATGACTGTGGACAGACCTGAACGTAAACTGTAATTGCAACTTGACCAGAGGCACACAACCTCGAGGTAGTAATTCTAGTTTTTCCAGTAATCTGATTGGTCAGAGTTGGAGCACGTTAGCTGTCAGCTAAGTTACCACAGTTATTTATCACAGGAAAAAGTGAACAAGCTTCGTAGTACTGAAAACCCAGGGTTAACTTTGAGGTTACCTCTCTAACCCCTAACCCTGCTCTGTAGCGCAGGCTTCAGGTCTTTGTCAGTCTGGAGTCTGCTGGCAGAGAAAAATAACTTAAAATAGTACAGTCAGATTTTTTTAAATTTTAACATGGATGGTTTTGAGTTTAAAGACACATTCATGGCTTCGGTGAGAAATTGTGAGAGGGTGATAATTGGCTCCTCTGGTATGTTTTTTCTCACCTAAGCTCCACCTCTCTGTGTTTCTATGATTACTATGTACAGTATTCACATTTGGAGCCAATCTAGTTGTCTCAAAGCCACATAGAGCCAAAGAGGCAGATGGTTAATGGATAAGATCTGCTGTAGTTTGATGCCAGGTGTGCTAACCTCCACCTCACCCTGTTGGCACAACAGTTTTTATTAGTGTGTCTGTTTGTGCACATGTATGACTGTGTGTGGGTGTATGCTTGTTGGTGTGTGTCTTCCTCTCTGTTCAGCATGATCCTCTGCTATCAAGCATATGGTGAATATTGATAAAGCCCCTGGTAGGCAAACTGCTCAGTTGGCCTGCGTTTGTGTGTCCGTGTGTTTGTGTGTGTGTACGAGTGCACACTAAAAGATTTCAAAATAAATTCATTAATCTCACATCAACTATTTTTTTTTAATATTGACTCCCAAAAACTGACACTGACACAGTTTTAAGTGCACACACACACTGGAAAACACAGCAACTATATAATAATGTCCTTGGCATAGTTAGCCTGCTCTCATACAGATGATTTATTTTACTGGGCTTGTTTTGCTGTTTGTTCAAGATCAAATGACGTCCTTTCTTCTTCTCTTCTCCTTCCTTTCCCCACTCTTTAAATCTTCCCTTCTCTCTCTTTGTTTTTCTCTTGCTCTCCATTCTGTCCCTATTTCTCCCTACATCAGCTAACACTGCCTTCACCTCCTCTATGTGTCCTGTATCTCTGTGTGTGTATCTATCTGTAGCTTTACATGTTTCATTTTATTTTATTTTATGTTCTTGCATCTGGTACATTGGGTCTAGGAAATAACTTTACAAATAACATTTATTATTATTATTATTATTAATATTTGCATCGGTATTAATTTATTGTTTATCATTTATTATTATTAATCTCCTTCTTACACTTTGTGCTCACTTTCTCCTCAATCAATCGATCAAATTCTATCTACAAAGCACCTTTCAAACAAGTCAATGCACTTCAAAGTGCTTTACAAGGCATTGACAAAAAGGATATTAAAGATTCACAGCAGTGTGAAGGATTTAAAGGGATATATTGGCAGCAATGTAATATAATATAATAAGAAGGGCTGTCAAAATAACACGTTAAGTCAGTTAAATAATTACAGAAAAAATTGCGCTTTAAAAAATTTTACGCTGATTAATCGCATGCTGTAGTGCAGTTTGACCTGGTGCATCATTGAAGGCCACAGTAGCTTTGTCACATGATGGAGGCAGACAAGACGACACTGTTTGGCCCATGAATGGAACATTTATATTTGACAAACACCCAGATGGAGCTGTTGATAGGAGCAACGTTTTCTGCAATTTCTGCAGTAGGGAATCTTCGTAGCATCGGGTACTGCAAGCCTGAAATATCACCTCAACACAAAGCATTTAGCAGCAAACCCAGAGGTCTGAGCTAGCACAGCCTCTGATGGTAGCATTTGCAGCCAGCCTCATCGAGCCACTCTCGACCAGGCGTTCAGACGCAAACTGAGTAAGTCTACCTACTAACTCCTTTACAAAATGGTTTGCAATGGACTGCAGACCAGTTTCAGTGGTAGAGGACAAGGGGACAATTGTGTCTAAAATCCAGCAGCTTTACTACGACACATCTGCCAAAATACATAAATACGAAACACATCTAAATACTTTCACAGCAAAATTTGATGTATGTGATTCATTTAAATTAGTTAATCACAGAGCATGTAATTAATGAAATTATTTTTTTTTAATTGCTTGACAGCCCTAATAATAACTAGTTTACTTTAGTGTATAATCCCCTGAAAACACAAGTCATGTGTTTTTATTACCTTAGATTGAGTCGCTTATATCTACATAGTTAGTGGGTCCTTGTAGTAGGAGGTCGACATGTTGCATCACCATGTTTCTACAGTAGCCCAGAGTTGACAAACCAAGCACTGGCTCTAGATAGGGCCAGTTGTGTTTTTAGCATAAGCCATCGTAGTTAGCAGCCCTTCCACGACGAGCAGCATTGATAAAACACCTGCTTTGTTAGCTTGTGCTAGTGAGGCTAGTGATGTTGAAGTGACCAGAAGGAGAGCAGCTCCAGACTCTGGAGATGATCCGCTAGTGCAGCGTTTAACCTATGTAACGGCAGCATCAGAAAGTTTGCTGTCTTTTCTTATGTTAACTTTGAATGTGTGGTTTAATCGGCTAATTCAGGCCTGGTTGTTCAATAGTTGTTGGCCAATTTACATTCATATTCTTGTGTATGTGTGTGTGTTTGTTTGTTTTTTTTTTTGGGGGGGGGGACATTTCTTAAAACTGGATCTATAAGGTTTTGACTGACTCACTCTGAGAAGTACAGCGTGCTGATGTATCATGTTATGTTAAGTGTTGCTATGGTTTCTGGCAGCCTGATGAAGACAGAGGAAGGTGACCCTTGGATGACCCTGTACTGTTAACCACACCCACTTTGGCATCTCTCTTTTTGCGCCTTTCCCTCCTCCGCCCTTCTCTTTGTTAAGTGTTTTTACTGGTTTTAAACACAGGTCTGTTTGTCTTGGAGAGGAAGAGACAGAGGATAATTTGGCTCCCGGTACAAACTTCCCGAACAATGAACACTGAGGGAATTCAAAGTAGAAGTTTCAGCTGGTTGTAATATGCAATCCTCACTGCTAGATGCAACTAAATCACCCTAAATCTTACACACTGTTCCTTTAGAAATAGTAAAATGTTAATAACATAAAAGAGCAACAACAATTAAACATAAAACGAGTTAAATAAATTAAGATGACAATAAAATCAGTTTAAATGAATAATAAAATTATAAAACACCACATAAAATCCAAACTAAATGTATTGGTTTTTAGTTCCAATATTATTAGAAACAGCTAAGAGAGAAGAAGCTTCCTGGTTCATAGAGTAAAAGCATTTCTGACTGGTAGTCTGATGCAAATCAATATAAAAACTAACATGTAACGAGTGTAAAGACAGAACATGTCTAATGTGTGCGCCCCTTTTGGTCTCTTCATCTCTCAATCCTCTCCTCACTTCCTCCCTCCTTTTTTCTACCCTCTATTGGTTTCCCCTTATCCCTGCTTCTAATCCTCCCATACAGTGCATCAGTTGGTTACATGTTTTCACATTATCACCTCTCTGTTTCTCTGTTATAACAGTTGGCGGTGCCTTCACTCTTGGTACTTACACCATCCTCTTCCTAAAGCTTTACTCCTATAAGGACGTCAACATGTGGTGCAGAGAGCTGAGCACTGCCAAGGCCAAGACACTGGCCAGGTCGCTGTCTTGTAAGTCACAAACATACATGTACCGACATATTTTGGCCGGGGAGGGGTTGCTTACTAAATTTAACACCTAATTGAGAATGGCTCTTTGCTCAGTTTCTGTGTATGTTTCAAATTTCTTACCCAAAATGAACTCTCAGCCCCCGTGCTCACGCTGTTACAGTGACATCTAATGGCAGATAGTGGATCCTGCAGCTCTTAGATAAAATGGAAGTTTGACAGTTACAGGAACTGTCGCAGGACTGTGTGGAAATTTGATTGTGTAACAGAAGTTGTTGCATGTCAACATCCACACTTAATTGCATTAAATTATTTTCTCTGCATTTGTATGAAATTGACTGATAAAAAACAATGTTGGCTGACACTTACTTTGTCTCATTTGTTTGTGTGTGAATTCTGCCCAAAGGTCCGTCCGCACAGCATCTCAAAGGCAACCGTGAGGTGTGTTACCCTGGCAACCTCACCATCAGAGGTACCCAAATACACCCTTCTTGTGTTTTTATGAAGTTTTATTGATAATGTCTCTACCATGTTCCACTGCCTCTGTTTTATGTGTTTCATTTTGGCGTCCTCTCCATCTCTGTAGACATGTACTACTTTGTCTTTGCGCCAACTCTGTGCTACGAGCTCAACTTCCCCCGCTCTCCTAATATTCGCATGGGTTTCCTGCTGAGGAGATTGTTTGAGATGGTGAGGAAATATCTCATGTCAGCATCAGCCAGAAAACAACACCTTTGCTGTAGCTGTATGTTCAAGTCAAAAAGCACTCCCCCCACCTTTTCCTGTTAGTGATTGATCCAAGTGCTCTGGGGTATTTTTGTCAATGCTCTCACAATTTTACAAGCATCTCCCAATAAAGTACTAAAGAGCAAGAACACCTGCACAGCTTTTAACAGCCGAGTGTTTGCTTTGCATGCTGGTGAAGAGGGTGATGAATTAAAAGAAATGCTGCTTATTTAAGGGAAAATACTGGGTTTTTGTTTTTTTTAGTTTTTGCCATCATTATTAGCGGTTTATATAATATTATACACATAAAATTAAATGCTTAAATTTGGGGACATGGTGATGCCACGGTCCAAAAAGGGCAAAGAACGTAAGCAGTCAGACAATTAGACATGTAAACCACCTCTGTTCTAACAGTTTAGTAGAATTACAGTCCAGTAATGATACATAACTAAAAAAAAAGATCTTTAAAAGTTAAAAAAAAGCCTGAATGGTTCTTTATCTGATGCGCGCCCCATCTCCTCTGTCGATCGCTCACTTTATTGATGTGTTTTTTTGTCCCCAGCTGTTCCTCATCCAGCTGTTAGTTGGTCTTACTCAACAGGTATGTCCTATAATGTAATCTAAAGGTAATGTGTGGTGCTGTATTTGACTGTCATTCACATTGCATTAATGACATGATTTTAGGTGTTTGTGTGATCATATTGCCTCTATTGCCCAAACTGTGGAAGAACTACGGAAAAATGACTCTAAACAAGACAATATGTAAAGTTCCCAGTTATGTCTGAATGCTGCTTTTTGTTTTCTTTCTATCAGTGGATAATTCCCATCATTCAGAGTTCCATGAAACCACTAGAGGTGAGTAAGACAGAATGCTAGTGACGCTTATACTGCACGAAACAACATTGCACTGTGCTGTTTTCAAATGCAAAGTGCTGCTGTGCATCATTTGTTAATCTATGAGTGTCTCCTCTCCTCTGTAGGACATGGATCTGTCCAGGATGACTGAGAGACTTCTAAGATTAGCTGTGAGTAAAAACATACATAAATATAGTACTACTTGTGGACACTGACGCTGTGTGTCTTCATGCTTGCTGTGACTTTAAGACCAGAACATAAAATATCACATTTTTTCGGTCCGGCGGCAGTTCACAGCCTCAAACACTCGCCTCTCAATGGGCACAATTGGGGAAAAAAAGGCAGACACTTATTAAAAAAAAAGTGCTCTTCAGCCTAAGAGAAGATCATGCTACAACTACAATCACCGGACACTTTATTAGTTACACATTCTAGTACCAGGTTCGACCCCCTTTTGCCTTCAGACCTGCCTTAATTATTGGTGTCATGGATTCAACAAGGTGCTGGAACATTCCTCAGAGACTTTGGTCCATATTGACATGATGACATCACACAGTTGCTGCAGATTTCCAGAATCTCCCGTTCCACCACATCCCAAAGGTGCTCTGTTGGATTGAGATCTGGTGACTGTGGAGGCCATTGGAGTACATCTGCTTCAAGGTTGGACGTGTTGTTGGTTCAGAGATGGTCTTCTGCAGACCTTGGTTGTAACCAGTGGTTATTTGACTTCCTGTTGCCTTTCTATCATCTTGAACCAGTCTGGCCATTCTCCTCTGACCTCTGGCATCAACAAGGCATTTTCACCCAGAGAACTGCTGCTCACTGGATATTGTCTCTTTGTCGGACCATCCTCTGTAAACCCTAGAGATGGTTGTGTGTGAAAATCCCAGTAAATACTCAGACCAGCCCATCTGGCACCAACAACCATGACACGTTCAAAGTCACTTAAATCACCTTTCTTTTCCATTCTGATGCTCAGTTTGAACTTCAGCAGGTCGTCTTGACCATGTCTACATGCCTAAATGCTGCCACGTGATTGGCTGATTAGCTATTTGCGTTAATAAGCAGTTGAACAGCCGGTGAGTGTATAACACTGCTCCACAGCCACTGTAGCGGCTAATAAATACATTATCAGAATCAAAATCACATTTTCGTTGCACTGATGTTTTACCAAATATTACTGTTACACAAATGAAGGATTACATGGGTTACACACTGCTTATTGTCATGTAAAGTTATTCATCACTGTAACAAGAGTATGTTATCTCACCATGACTTTGTTGAGAGTATAGACAGGAAACATGCTTGAGTTTTGCAACAGGCTTTTGCTAACAGTTAGTTTGGACATCTCCTCTTAAATGTCTCACAGTCATATATATGTTGTCCTCTAACCCTTCTCCAGGTTCCTAATCACTTGCTGTGGCTGATGTTTTTCTACTGGTACTTCCACTCGTCTATGAACTTCACCGCTGAGCTGCTGCGCTTTGGAGACAGACAGTTCTACAGAGACTGGTGGTAAGTGTATGTGCATGTGGTGGGAATGGATTTGCATGCATACTCATGAATAGAAAAATGTAAAAGAGAAGGTATGATGGTGGATCATTTCATTACTGTACAAAGCTAATGGGGGGAGTCACTTTATGCATCCCACCTTTTCTGCATTGCAGGATAATTACTATTTGTTCATCTTCTCCTGCATGACGACAAAGATTTTAGGCTTTTTCATGTTCATCATTATTGATAAAAATGCCTTAGATCAATTGTTTAAACCCTGTAATGCTTCAACACTGTATTTGCTGACTTTTCTTTCAGGAACTCTGAGACAGTGACATATTTCTGGCAGAACTGGAACATCCCTGTACACAAGTGGTGTCTACGGTGAGTTATTCGCACACTAACACACTGAGAGGGAGCAATGAAATTTATAGAAGTGAACACAGGGGACAGCAGTGGGTTTGATGCAGGGAGACAGACTTAACAAGGCACACTGATGTATTTGGGAAATTGATTCATCTGGCTGCGAGAGAGTAAGTGCTGGTAATAAATACGGCGCCTGCAGCTAGTTCCACATGCACTAACACAGCAGCAGGAGCAAATGCAGTGAGGTTATATTAAACAAGACAAAGCAAATGAAATGCTACTTAAAGCCTATTTCCTTTGAATTCCTGTTAGGGAGGGAGAATTACAGCACATATGAGAGTTTAGATGTTTCAACATATCGTATCACACATTAGGTAAACAAATACTAAATGACTGACAAAACAAATAAGTCTTTATCAGTGGGTTTGACATCCTGGTTTACAGTAAATGTCCATCCATCCATTTCAGCATCTGTTTTTTTGTCTGTCTTGCAGCCACTTCTACAAGCCACTGCTGAGGAAAGGATTTAGTAAAATAGTCAGCCAATCAGCTGTCTTCTTCTTGTCGGCTTTCTTCCATGAGGTAAGAGCTGAGACCAAGACCACTTTCACTACCTACGTTGAATCCTGTTTCAGGTTCTTGTGCAAAATCTTAGGGTGTTTTCACATATATAGTCTTTTTAAATTAACTGAACTCAGTCCTCTGAAAGTGCACCAAAAAGTGGACCAACAGTAAAAGGGCCTCAGTTCTCTTTCTGGTCAACTTCAGCTCTGATGGGGCCTCAATCCTTTTTCTGTTCACTCTATAACCTATGTGTAATATATATTGACATAGTTTTGTTTTTACTTAAATGTGGCACTGCAGTGCAGTTATGAAGCCCCTCGCTTTCACGTGGACTTAAAATTGGAGGATAACCTTAGTGTTTCTGTGCTGTAAACTGTTGCTGGTTGATGTATTCTGCATTCCACATCTGAAGACGTGCAGTATCTTCCGTGGACCAAACTATTTCTCATCCTGCTTCCTTGCAAGCATTACAGGCCGACATGGTTTTGTCTGGTTTTTCAAGCATCCCAGTTCAACACCATGTGATCTAGAGGGCTAAATACAATGGCAAAGAGCAAAGCGAGCCTGGAGCACTTTGTGTTCACAAGGCACAGGTTAAGTGAACCTCACCACAGACTTGAAGCAAACCATACTCAGACCAGCTCGTATGGTTCGCTTCAGAGGGGTCTGAGTTCTCTTGGAGTGTTCACATATTCGCAAAAAAAGTTGACTCTGAATCTGTTCAGAGGGCTGAAAAGGACTAAATGTGAAAACACCCTTCAGTTATATTTTGTAGAGAACGCAGTTTATTTGATATAATGATTTTTGTCTCTCTGTCTGTTTTGGTGTCAGTACTTGGTCAGTGTTCCTCTCAGGATGTTCAGACTTTGGGCCTTCATGGGCATGATGGCGCAGGTAAGAACCAAGACATGTCACTGATGAAATAAACTTACAACTGTGGTCGTAACAAACCTGTATATTATTTCATTTAAAACTGCGTCATATGCACTGTAATCTATAGGGGTAACTCAGTATCTCAAGACAGCCTTGAGGGAGTTCCTTTCAGTTTTGCACAAACATCTAACTGGACTCAAGAATGAACTAATTAGATTTTAGTGGTCAAGGTTCAGGGTCACTGTTAAATGTGCGTGTCCGCCTCATTCTTGTGAATGCGATGTTTCAAGAAGGTTGTGTGCAGTTTCCTCAGATTTGGCACAAATGTCGTCTTGGACTCAACAATGAACTAATTAAAATTTGGTCAAAGCTCAATGTGACCTCAAAAATACCTGTTTTTGGCCATAACGCAAGACTTCATGCGCTAATTATGACAAAATTTCACACAAATGTCTAACAGTACATAATTATAAAGTGATGACATTTTATATCCAAAAGGTCAATGGTCAACTTCACTGTGACATCATACAATTCTGCACAAACACTTTTCTGGCCATTACTCAACGCTATAACTCTGGAACAGAAGGAGAGACATTTGGTCAGACACTGACTCTAATCTCAGGTGCCCACCTTGAGCCTGTGCTGATTGTATAGATCTGTGCTGCTGTGTGTGAAGCATCCATGTTTTAAAATATGTAGCTTTTGCAGCAACATCTGTATTTGAGGCACTGTCAGCTGTCACGGCTACATATGAGTCTGGACAGATACAGTACAGCTGTTAACTGCAACTTGAGTGGTTTGCGAAGGCATCCAAACACGAGGCAGTAATTCTAGTTTATTGGGAGAAACCAAGCAGTTCTATGTAAAGTCAGAAATTCAGCACCCCTATATAACACAAATGGAACAATCCTTTGTTTCATCAACACATTTTCCTGCAACTACACGACTCAACTGTGAGTTCGGCAGTCGAATCAGGCTTCTAAGATCTAATCGTCAAATAGTCAATTATCTGAGGTCACTCTTAGTTATCTAAATACACCATTGATACTAAAAGTCAAAATAAAGACAAGTGGATTTTTGACTCCTATGGGACATTTTAAAAGGTGCTCTCTGTGTTTGGCCTTGGCTCCAGTATCATTAACTTAATTAATAACCTCATTAACACAACAAGGCATATTTGATGTATTACGGAGAATATAGCAGGACAACAGGCAGTATAATTACCTCTTGGTCTTTGCTGACTTTGTTGGTTTGTTGTTCATTAGAGAGTGCTGAGACTCGGACAACCGAAATCAGAAACAAAATGTGAGACTGTAATTAGTCATTAAAAACCCAATCGCCCACTGTGTTTATTTAATTTCTTTTTTTTTTTTTACCCATCAGCTTCCATTAGCCTGGATTGCTGGTCGCTTCCTGCGGGGCGCCTACGGCAACGCTGCAGTGTGGATCTCAATCATTATTGGCCAGCCATTCGCCGTCCTGATGTACGTCCACGACTATTACGTCCTGAACTACAGAGAGGAGTCTGAATAATGTACACAAACACACACATATGTACATACACATCTACCACCTTCATCTTGTACGTTCACACACAAACACAGAAGTACCACTTGCGTCCAGTGCAGCTCAACAGATATCGCCCTTTTTTTCTTTCTTTTTTTTTTGTTAAGATTATTTTTTTTGGCTTTATTTGATAGGATAGCTTTAGCATGGAAGGGGTAGAAAGGAGGGGATGACATGCAGCTAAGGGCCATGAGTCAGGACCAAACCCGCAGCTGCTGCAGCAAGGGCACAGCCTCTGTACATGGGGGCGCCCGCTCTATCAGGGAGCTACTGGGTGCACTAAAGGATGCTGTACTTTACACGTCAGGGTGAACTTATCACATCCTGATCATAGCATGTTTACATAAAACACTTTGGCTGTTGTATCTTCCTGCAATGTTTTTTCATCCCAGAAAAAAATATTTTTTAAGCTGGGAAAGATAAGAATTGCTAACATGAGGAAATATTGTAAAACTATGTTGACTCTTGAAAAACTACTGTAACGCAGGAGAGTTCACTTCAGTATCCATTGATGTAGTCATCTAGCATTTCACTCAGGTGATTTTTCTTCCAGTGTCTTTTTAAAACCTCTCACTGCCAGTTTGCCAAATGTATCAACGCCTGCATGTGGTACTGCAGAAAAGCTTCTCTGTTTTACCAGAGAGGCTTTGCTCCTCTTCAGCTGTGTGCATGGACAGTATAATGACTGTGGCTGAATTTTATCAATTGTCAAGTTGACAACATGATTCAAGTGCCTTCATAAAAGTTATGAGAGAGTTTTATGACCCACTGTGTTTCCTCTCTGTGAGCCAAAGGGGCCTGAATGTGTCTGGTTTTACTGTGAGATGGAACATCACGAAGAGAAATGAATGGATGCTGGTAGGATTTTATAAATGTACAATATATTTTTTAATGATGTTTTACTTTGTCAGTTATGAAAAGGCCAGCATTATTGTATGTGTTTTTTCATCATAATAATACAGCACACATCCAATCGTCCAATCAGGCCAGCAATTTTTTTTTTTTTTTTGTATTACTTTTTTGCAGAAAACAGACAATGCAAATTCACTGAATTGGTGTTTTTATTGTACTTCTATCTCATTGGACTGCTGGATTATCTAAATACAATGTGTGTGTCTGAAAATAAACATTCAGAATTCAATTTAAGTCTTGTGTTTAAGAGTGTGTGTTATTTTGTGCCAATGGTTTATCAGTCTTTTGTTTTTGTTTTTTTTGCATTGTGAGTAATTATGATATTTCTCATTAGATCAAGGGTTAATCAAAATGAAAAGCTAAAGGTCGGTGTGACAGGCTCTCCTCTTTACATTGAAACTCGTACACACAGAGAGCCAGAAGAGGGAGAGCAAGGTTTTAGTAGCTACATTTGTTATACAGTGGCTGACAAATGTATGCAAACATTTATCAAATCACAATCAGTGGTACCCCTTAAAAGTTTTAATAGGGGTAACCAGATGGAGCCACTGGAAATCTTGGGGTGACACACCAAAACCAAAAGCCATAACTGAATTTAGAGAATTCAGTTATGCTGTTGTATAGGCTATGTGAAAACTATGTCAATAAGTGACTTAAGAAACTGCATACTGATATGCTCTTCCACTACTTCTTAGTGCAAATTATACTCTATCTCTAATATTAAGTACAGCTTGATACAGCCTATTTGTTTTACGCTATTTATTCCCAATTTTATGAGTGACTATGTCTGTTATTAGACAGTTTTGTCTCTCTGTTGTGTCCATACAGTCGGTTTTAATTCTCACATTCTCTTGTACTAGTTTCACTCACAGACATTGAACACACCACAAGTTAAATGACTTAAAGCGACCATTAGTCGGTGATATTCATCATGATTAAGCTACCTACCAGGCTTAATATCAAACTTAAGACAGTGATAAACATCATTTTACCACTTTGCTACTGGGCATCTCAGCTGGAGACACAAAACTGTGGCATGAACTGTGTGTGCTTGCGCTTGTGTAGATTTGTCATCCAGAAATGTGAGGACAAGACTGTGAACCTGTATTTTGTCAGCCTGACAGTGAATTAAACAGCAAGTCTGAGGCATATCACGAAGTTTCTGTAGGCGTGTGTACGTGCTCTGCTGGTGTGACATTTGGCTAAACAATCGTCAGCGGGGATTAGAGTGTAGATGTGACAGGAGACGCGGCTTTGCAGGACACAATATAGAAAATCAGCTCACAGCAAAAAGGAACTTTATTTTCTCCATCAATCTTGTTTTTTTTTTAATTCCAAGAATTAAGATTAATTATTTCCAAAAACAGGACTCCATCAAAGGGTGAAAAGCTAGTCTGGGACATGGGCTCATGTGGGGACTCACTGGAAACATGCACACGACTGTTTGTTGAGAGATTTGTTGAGATTTTTTATTTTTTTCATAGAGTGGCAGAAAGATGCAGCATTTTCAGCATTGTAAAAATTACATGTCATTTTCTTCATGGGTCATTAAAGGGGCTCTATAATAGATGTATCAGAATGGGAAACAGCGTTGGAGGCGGGGTCCTGTTTATTATTAAAGTTGCTAAGTGGCACATGAAGCCAAAAAAGTACAACCTCTGCTGTGCTTGAACATCATAGGTTCCATAGCCTCCTGCAACCCTGCGTCCTCATATGAGGACATTACATTTTGTGTTTGCAGCTACTATGTCAAATTGGCTTTAAAGCCCAGCATTTGTTCCTGGGGGCTTGGACTTTTTGCGAAACTCCAAGTGTATGATACCTGGACACAATTCTCAACATGGAGGTAGCTGAGCCAGTGGCTAGCAGCTAATGGTGCTAACTCTATAAACACCCCTAAACAACGGAAACAATGCTGCCATAGCTAACAGTGTTAACTGCTCAACATGGAGGTAGCTGAGCCAGTGGCTAGCAGCTAATGGTGCTAACTCCATAAACACCCCTAAACAACGGAAACAATGCTGCCAGAGCTAACAGTGTTAACTGCTCAACATGTAGGTGGCTGAGACGACAGCTAGTGGTGCTAAGAACATAAACAGCGTTAAACGGTGGCAACAATGATGACAGAGTTAACAGTGTTAACTGCTCAACTGTGTTAACTGGAGCTGGCTGAGTTGGCAGCGAGCAGCTGATGGTGCTAACTTCATACACAGTGCTAAGAAAAGACAACAGTGCAAAAAGAGCTAAAAGTGGTAACTGCTCAACATGTAGGTGACTGAGCAGACAACTAGCAGTTAACTGTGCTAACATGATAAACACCGCTAGCCAAAGGTGTTAACTGCTCAACATGGAGGTGGCTGAGCCAACAGCGAGCAGCTAGTGGTGCTAACACCATATAACACTTCTAAACAACGCCAACAGTGCTGACAGAGCTAATGGTGTTAATGTTTTAACCTGGAGGTGGCTGAGCCAACAGCAGCAGCTAGTGGTGCTAACACCATATAACACTTCTAAACAATGGCAACAGTGCTGACAGAGCTAATGGTGTTAACATCTCAACATGGAGGTGGCTGAGCCAACAGCTTGCAGTTAACAGTGAAAACACCACAACCAGTGCTAAACAACTGTAACAGTGCTGACAGAGCTCAATGGTGTTAAGCAAGGGGGACCAGAGGCTATGCTTCTACGACAACCCTGTCCCAATATAAGCGGTAACCGCCGTATGGGCACATATGAACTAACATGCTTGAGCAGCCAGACTTACTACAACAAACCACAGAGAAGCTCAGATTACAACACACACACACACACACACACAGAAGTACCATCGCTTCATTCTCTGCTCAGGACACCATTACTCCACTATATCTTTACATAGCAAATAGTGTTTGGTTGATGTATAATGCTCTGATTGTTGCATACAGAACCTTTAAAGACTCACTCTGTTGAACATAAATAATGGTGGGTGATGGTTGACAAGAGAAGTGGTGGGCAAGCAATGTGTTTTTTTTAGCTTGCATCTCAACAAGAGGGATATCTGCATTTATTTGTGCTAGCAACTGATTCCTCACATCTGTCCTCATAACCGCCACCAGTGTCAAAAAGTAAGCTTTTGCTGCAGGACAGCCGTAATCCTCCATCCATCCCTCTTTCATTTCTGACAAATAAACCATGAGAGGACAAGAGAGGGAGGGAGGGGGGCGTAAGAAGTGCAGAAACCTCATCATCTCTCATCTGTCATCAATATTCAGACCGTTCCTGACATAAACAAAGCTTTCCAGTTCCTCTGGTTGGACTGAGTCACACATTTATGCACCTCTCTCTCTACCTGCACACACAAACATATGTCATATGACGACCCATCTGGAATTTCAACGCCTATACGTACAGTCAGACACAGTGTACTCTCTCTGTGTTCCTATCTTTGCTTTGTCTATGCTTTTTCTTTTCTCTCACACCTCCTCCCCCCTTTCTTTCTCTCCTCTTTCCTTTATGTCCCCATCCTGCACCTTCTCTTTGTGCTCGTCCTCAGTAACAGGTTGATCCATGGCTCTTCTCCTGACATCCGTTATTCCGGATCTTTCCAAGGAACGCTGACAAGCTGTGAGTGATGATGATCCTCTAGACAGGAAACTAGGAGACACAAACCTGTCTCATTCTGCAAGATGGATGGAGCGTAGGTCCGGGAACATGTTATAAAGAGACAGACTTGAGCCTTACATCTAAATACAACTTTTTGGTCTGGCGTCTCTGTATTTAGATTCATGTATTTAGGTGATACACAGAGTACTTATACAGTATGTCCTGAAGGAGACCTACTTAAGACCCAGATTTTTACCCTGATGTCCTGCTTGTTTACGCATTCACTATACAGTCAAATGCATTAAAAGAGAAAGAAAGAAAGAAATTTAATTTTTCTTTGTTTCTGCTTCTGTCAAATTGTCTGCCTCCTCTAAAGATAACCTCCACAATACAAAAAACCTATCCTGAGGTTATATTCAGTCCAATAATATTCCTCACACAGTAGAGTACAGACGGTGGAGGTTTAATCATCTTGAGAGAAGCTATTGCCCCATTAAGATAATATTATCTGTCTCTGTTTCTTTACTTTTAGTAAAAACAAGTGTCAGGATGAAAAGAACATCAAATCACTTGTTAAGCCTGATTTGTTTTGTAGTTCGAGCTCAGCAGAGTGAGACGAACAGGTCTGCTCAGGTTCAAGAGTTTGTGTTTCAAGTTTATTTTTAATATATCACTGTGAATTATGACAGGGCACTTGTGCTGCATTACAGTCACACTTGATCAAAAAAAGTTTTTTTTTAAACCTTTATTAATGATTATTACGTTTGTAGAAACATGAGGTGTTCAAGCACACAGATACACACGTCTTTTTTGAGGTTTTTTTTTTTTTTTAAATATAGCACAAATCAGAGTGCTTTCTGTCCTTGTCTTTCAGTTCAATCCCATACATCACTCTTGATTCATATTCACATTTATCATCAGATACAGATTGGAGTTGACCAAATCCCTCCTCCTTGACAGAAGACACGTGATTTTTTTTGTATTTCATTTCATCAAAAAGGAAGAGATTAATGGAAGTATCTTCAACAAATGCAGCTGATTTTTTAAGGCTTTTGCTTTTTTTCTATAACAGCTAGAGTGACAGGAAGGGGGGGGGGGGGGGGGGGGGGGGGGGGGGGGGGGTGTTTCAAGGACTCAGCCTACATGGATGGGGGTGCATGCTCCATACACTGTCGCCCCATGCAGGTGATTTTGTAAAAAGAATTAGAATTTTTTTTCTTTCTTTACTTACTGTTAGAGTTCTTAAAGCTAAAGATTATCTTTACAAGATTTTTTGGTATAAATTTAAATTTAAATTTGAAAATCCCAACTTTCAGCATGAAAATCCATTATTTGAACCTGTAATGCATTTTTATCCTATCCATGACCCTTCAAGTGGACAAAATGCCACGATTTTCGAATAGTATTTTTGCTTGTGTTGCCCATCCCTAGTTAACAACGAAGTAACAAATAAATACAAATGTTAAACAGGTCTCCGAGGTCACTGAAATCCAGCGCTTGGGCAGTGACTTACAGTGTCAAACACTGCAGAAAAAGCTGTCCTTTCACGTCGACATGATAGGCTGCTGATTGCTGTCATAGTTTAACTGCACTTGGCAGCGTCAGGGGGAAACACAGCAGGAAAAGAACGAACGTTAAGGTGGCGAAATACC